AACCTTAAGGACATCATGCTAAGTGAAATAAGCCAGTCACAAGAAGACAAATGCGGTATGATTCCACTGATACGAGCGACTCGGAGTAGACAAAATCACAGAGACAGAAAGTAGAACGGTGGCTGCCAGGGGCTAGGGGAGGGGGACAGAAGGAGGGAGTACTGTTTAACGGGTATAGTGTTTCAGTTTTACAGTTTACAGTTTTATAAGGTGACGAGAGTTCTGGAGATGGGTGGAGGTGACGACTGCGTGCCATTATGAATGTATTTAATACCATCGAACAGCACACCCAAAAAAGGCAAAGATGGTAAATTTTATGTTATGTGCATTTGACCACAATAAGAAAAAGAGAAAAGAAAACAGAAATGAAATACTGATACACAGTACAACACGGATGAACCTTGAAAACATTATGCTAAGGGGAATAAGCCAGAGTCAAAAGACCGCAGATTCTAAGATCCCTTTTATATGAAACGTCCAGGCAGGGCAAGTGTATTGTCAGAAACATGTGTCGTTGCTCAGAGCTGGGGGAGCTGGGAAAGCGTTGGGGGTGATAGCTGCAGGGTACAGGGTTTGTGTCTGAGGTGATGAAAGTTTTATAAAATTGACTGCCATGTTTGCTGGTTGCGCGTCTCTATGAACATTCTAGAAACCAATGGACTGGACACTTTAAATGAGTGAGTTGCATGGGGAGTTCATTATATCTAATAAAGCTGTTATTTAAAAAAACAAAAAAAAAACTATACTGACATACTTCTTACCTATTAGGTAGACAAAAATTCTACAAGGTTGACCACATTCTCTGCTAGCGGGCCAGTGGGGAAGGAGGCTCTCTTTCACAACACTGAGGGAGATGCAAATGGTAAAGCCCCACGGAGGGGTATTTGGTGGTAACTTCTGGCAAATTTACATCTGCCTTTACTTCCCCTGCAGCGCAGTTCCTAGGAATCTATCCCAAAGATACATTGGCAAGAATACGAACTGCCTTCGGCACAACATAGTCCCTTCGGCACGATTTCTATCAGTAAAACACTGGAAATACCCAGAGGTCCGCCAATGGGGACTGGGTAGACGGACTATGGTATATCACGCCACAGAACATTCCACATCCACAAAAGAAAGGAGAAAGATCTCTACCTACACGTGTGAAGCGATCTCCAGGGCAGACTGTGTAAGACAGGGATGTATCTCTGTGTTACTGATCTTTTCAAAAGGAAACACCAGAAGTACCAACAAGAAACTAATACAAATCGTTATCTGTAGGGACAAGGAGGGGACAGCGATGGAAATAAGACTTCCCTGAATGTATCCTGTTAAACCAATTTGACTTTGCAAACATAACATGCCTTACATACTCAAATGGCTAAATCAAAAAGTAAAAAGAGCCATTTCTAAAAATCTAAAAATAAATAGAAGCAAATGAACTTAACTGTATATCAAGTTGATGACATAACCACATACAGAAAATAATTATGTCAAGGGACCTTAAAAGGCATTATTTTGTCTGTAGGTCCCGAATGGAATGCATTCAGAAGACCAAAAGAGCTATACAAAAAAAAAAAAAAAAAAAAAATCTCAGGCTTTAATCAAAAGTGTAATTGTTTAACATTCCCATGTAAAAGAAAAGTGACACACAAGTAGCAGATCAAAGAACATTAAATTTGAGTTAGAAATATCACTATGAACTCATGATTTTTTTTCTTTACAAAAATAGCCATCTTCTCAAAAAAAAAAAAAACCCCACATATTTTCTGAAAAGGTTTAGAAGTAATACTAAAAATTAGCCACTACTAGCACTCATACTGTGGTCTCCAAATATCATTCACCACTGAAAGGAATTAAAACTCCATGGAGAAATTTGTATTCCAGGTCTGGGGTAGGAAATGATTCTAGAACATCTTGAATCTGAAAAGCCACTGAAGTCACACCTACAGGCCAACGTAAGGGGGCTGTCGTGAGCTGAAGATGGGACAATTTAAGCACAAAAAATAATGACTGCGAAGGATTGGCACATATAACATATTCAACAGTCTATGAAGTCACAGTAACAACAGCAACAACGACAATGATGATAATAACGTAAAAAGCTCAAGTATTGGTCACGTTTGCAGGTTTCTAAGGCAATAGCCCTTCATTCTGAAAAATGACGAAGGAAAAGAATTCAGCATCTCTCCTGCCTGTTCTGTACAGACTGCATTTCCGGGGAACTAAAAGAGTTGATTCAGGAAATTACTCTTTACAAAAGAATTTCAGCTATTCGGTGCATAAGGAGGACAGGATTTCACCATTTTGCAACCCCTAATGGAATAACAAATCCGGGCAATCATGTTCAGTGACTACTGATGTCATCAGGTGAGCTGGTGACGGGGAGCTTTGGAAGAGCAGGGGAAGGAAAGCACTGGAAAGCCAGGCGAGCGGAGCCTCTGCGCCTCCTGACGGGCAGCGTGGAGCACACAGCACCACCTCTGAAGTAATCCTGCCCATAAGAGTCTGCCGGAATCCAAACAGGCCTCCCGATCTACCAGTTTATAGGAAATGCAAAAAAATGGAAGAACAATAAATGACACCAAATCCAGAATATGGGAAATAGTGGCATTTAAAAAGGTAAATGACGTGGCGCACCTGGGTGGCTCAGTCGGTTATGTGTTAAGTGCACGACTCTTTTTTTTTTTTTTTTTAATGTTTATTTCTTTATGAGAAGAGAGCGCAGGAGCAGGGGGGAGGCTCGAACTCGCAAACTGCAAGATCATGACCTGAGCCGAAGGTGGAAGCTTAACCGACTGTGCCACCCAGGTGGCCCAGTGAAGCGCCCCCGACTCTTGATTTCGGCTCAGGTCATGATTTCATGGTTCGGGAGGTCGAGCCCCACATCGGGCACTGTGCTGACAGAGCCTGCTTGGGATTCTCTCTCCTCTCTCTGCCCCTTCCAGGCTCTCGTGCATGCGCACTCTCACTCTTGAAATAAATAACTTTAAAAAAAACACAAAACTATTCAAAAGATAAATGACGTTAGAAGGTCAAACAAATAAATGACGTTAAAGAGGGAGAGGTGGGGCCGGTCCATCAACTGAAGAGCGGGAAGGAACAGAATGTGTAATATACACCCGCCCAGCTGGGCCCGGGGACAGTGCAGAGGTGGGTGAGCCTGGAAAACAAGCTCAGTGTAAGCAGGCACACAGAAGGTCACACCCAGCAGGATTCCATTGACAAGAAACATCTAGAAGAGGCAAATCTACAGAGATGGAAAGCAGGTCAGCAGCCTGGCCTCGGGCTGGGGAGCAAGCAGAGGGAACCGCTAACAACTACAGGTTCGGCTTTGGCGGACAAGAAAGTTCTAAAAACAGACGGTGGTGATGGTCACAACCGTGAATGCAGTAGAAACACGGACTGCGTCGTCTACGAATGGTTTGGCAAGTTAGCTATATCTCAGTAAAGCTGCTAAATGGCGGAGGAGGAGGTGTTCCCAGGCTGTTTTACGGATTTTTTTATAAACCGAATACAACACGTGGACTTTGGTGGACTAGAAATAGAACCCGATACCTACAGGGAATATTTTGGAGACAATCGGGGAAATCAGAACACGGACTTGGGAGGAGATCCTAATCTGCTGGGTGTGAGACAGTGGTATTTTGGTGTTTATGTTCAGAGAAAGGAAAGAAAGAGAAGGATGGAGCCAAGGTGGCAAACTCCCGATCGTTGCTGAATGTGCGTGACCGTCATTCGGGGGGTGCGCTTGCCCTTCTCTCGACTTTACTTTCTTCATTTTATTAAAAACAAAAACAAACAAACAAAAACAACCCTCCCAGAAGATTCTGACCTGCTAGAACCACGGTCCTACAGCGCGCCAGCTGGCCAGCTAGGGTCCCGCCCTGGCCGCCCCTCCGAGACGGCCGTCGCCACAAAGGGAAGCCGGTGCACCACAGGCCTCACAGCCACCGCTTAGGTCGGGGAGCAGAGGTGGGAGGCCCGTGATGCACCGGTGCCAGGAGGGTCACTGTCAGGAATAAGTCCCCACTGACACGATGCGCAGCACACGTGCGCTTTACTTTACGTCTGCCACGCAGTCCTCACAATAACCAACCACTGCCGGCCCCTGTGGCTCTAAGGCGAAAGCCCTCCCCTCCCCCCCAACAGCCTGTGACCAGGCCGGCCTAGGACAGAGTGGGCCCCGCTTTGGGTAAAGGGGCCTGTGCTCCCTTCCTGGCCTCAGAGCACATCTGGAAAGCCCGTCCGGAGAGCAGGGCTCCAATTTGGTGTGCCCACCCCCCACCCCACCCCCACTCACCAGGGCTTGGCCTCCTGGGATGTGCTGCCTGTCTCTTACTCCCCTCCTCATGACCCCACAGGCTTTCAGGACAAGGCTCCTCTCCCCTCTCCATCTGGGTTAGGATGTCCGGTTTGGAGATAGCATAATCTGCGCACAGAATGGAAGGAGAGCTGGGTCAAGACTGGACACCCGCCACCCAGCTGCCCACAGAGATGGAGAGACACGGAGCAGAACAGAAGTCAAAGCGAAGACAGAGACTGCCCTGCCGGAGGCCAATCTGTGAACACAGATCCCCACCTACGCAGCCTTACCCAGGGACACCAGCATCTCGTAGTTGCCCCGCATCACGTGCTTGTAGAGCTCCTTCTGCCACTCGTCCAGCTTGCCCCACTCCGGCTCAGAAAAATACACGGCCACGTCATCAAAGGTCACGGGCACCTGGAACCACAAGCACCACGTGCGCTCACCCACACGCTTACGGGCACGCCCCGCGCGCTGTCCCACCCCCAGTGCCCGAGGGGTACCTTGGGGACCTCCCCCTTGCTGCCCGGGGGCAGCCGCAGGATCCAGAAGTTTCTGTTTCTCAGCAGGTTCTCCATGTTCTCCAGCCGCCTCTGCAGCAGCCCGTACTCCTGCAGCAGGGTCCCCAGCACGGCCCACTTGCTCTCCAGCTGGTTCCCGAACTCCGCGGCTGTCTTCTCGCAGTCCGCCAGCTTCTTCTCGGCCGTCCCCGCCCGCCCCTCCAAGGTCAGCAAGCGGGCCAAGCAGGAATCCACTTTCTTCTCCAAGGCCTGGATGGCGGCCACCACCGTCCACAGTGTGATCTCCGTGGAGTACAGGTATGAGTTCTTCTCAGCAGCTGGCTGGGGTGACAGAGAAGGTGTCGAAGGGCTTTCATCCCCTGTTTGCTTGTCCCTCTCTGGAGCCTGTCCACCGAGAAAGGGGAGATGGTATCACAACGACACGATCAGGGGCGCCTGGGTGGCTCAGCTGGTTGAGTGTCTAACTCTTGATTTCAGCTCAGGTCATGATCTCACAGTTCAGGGGATCCAGCCCCACATAGGGCTCTGCACTGACAGTGAGGCCCCTGCTTAGGATTCTCTCTCCCTCTCTCTCCCTCTGCCCTTCGCTCTGCACCTACAGGTGCCCACATTTTCTCCCGCAAAATATATAAACATTAAAAAAATATATACAATCCAATGCCTCACAATAACACTTGCCCTGATAAAGCCCCGTCTGGGATCCTGAGGGCCAGCCAGGCAGCAGTGTGGGATGGGAGGCAGGGACATCAGTTAGGACATCAGTTAGTGTAGCCTCAGGGACAGGAAACAACGGCTGGACCAAGGTGTTAGCAAGTGGGAAACAGGAGAAAAAACATGGCCAAAGGCCTGGGTCTCAGGTGACTTCCGCCTTGGGTCTTAGTCTCCCCTACAAATGAAGGCACAGGCTTTAAAGCACAGAGGACATGAGGTTTGCAGTGAGAGAGCCTGGGTGCAACTGGCAACTCCGCCCACCGACTTTGGGCAAGGTTTTGACACATCTTTCAACTTCACTTCCGCATCTAGACAATGGAACAATAATAGTGCTCAGGTGGTAGGGTGCTGAGAATTAATGACACAATCTTTGTTGAAAGCACTTAGCACCGCATCATATACGCAATACGCAATACAATACGCAATACGTGCATGCATGCCGGCGCCCTATGTTGATTCAGCTAAGATGATAATGATCAGGATGTTGACAATGATAATGGTTCTGGGCTCAGGGACACAGCATGAAACAGTTCTCATGGGCTTTTTTCTCCCCCTCTTTCATTTCATCATCCTTGACACCCTGGGAAAGAGCTTCTTTTTTATTTATTTATTTAGAAATTTGTTTTTAATGTTTCTTTATTCTTGAGAGACAGAGACAGGGCACGAGTGGGGGAGGGGCAGAGAGAGGGAGACGCAGTATCCGAAGCAGGCTCCAGGCTCCGAACTGTCAGCACAGAGCCCGACGCGGGGCTCGAACTCACAGACCACGAGATCATGACCCGCACCGAAGCTGGACGCTCAGCCACCCAGGCGCCCCGGTGTGGAATCCGCTTCCGTTCTGTGCGCAGATTAGGTTATCTCTAAACCGGACATCCTAACCCAGATGGAGAGGGGACAGGAGCCTTGTCCTGAAAGCCTGTGGCGCCTTAGCTCAGCGCCTGGTGCACAAGCCTTTCTGGAGCACAAGCCTTTCTGGAGCACGTGCGTGCAATGGCCTGGTCCCGGTACATGGTGCTAAAAGCCTTTGTTGGAAGGATGAACTGACCTCTTGCTCCTCCAGTTCACTCCTCCTTCACGGTCAAACCACCACCAAGTCCTATCCGTTTGACTTCCAGACTTAAACCCATCCTCTTTGCTCCCTCTCTCTCCCCTGCCATCACCCGGTCCACCCAGACAGCTGCTGCAATGCTAATTTCCCCTTCTCCTCCATACACTTTCCACAGAGTAGTCAGTAAGCATTAAAAAACAGGCTAGGGGCGCCTGGGTGGCGCAGTCGGTTAAGCGTCCGACTTCAGCCAGGTCACGATCTCGCGGTCCGTGAGTTCGAGCCCCGCG